TAGAAATAATATATATAATAGATATAGTATATATAATAGAAATGATAGAAATGATAGATCTAATAGAAATGTAATATTTGTAATATCTGTAATATCTGTAATATCTATAAGATCTGTAATATCTGTAAGATTTTCGGCACAGTAATTTGAGCCAATCAGAATCAAGTCACATGTACTAGAATTAGTATTTTCATCAAAATCATCCTGATCTCATGATCCCGTGATCATAATCACATGATCTTGTGCTCGTTAGAATCGTCTCGGTGAGCTGAATCCAATGGTGGTTGTTTCATTCAAATTGGTTTAGTACATCAAATGTTATGATCAAAAATGTGTAAAACTCTTAATGTTAACACTACTTACATCATTTTCTTTTGAAAATGGCCCATTATTAATGAAGAACATCATAATTCCAGAAGTAGTGGCTGCTTTTATGGGTACTACAGAAGAATTTATTGAAAAGGAGCCTTTTCTTTATTTTTCAAGAAAAGTAACTCCTCAATTGAAATAGGTATTTCAAATTTGATATTGAATTTGTTATATAATATTGTTTCTGGCTCTGGTAAGACTTTTTCTTTATAGAATTTAGTTATTTCAGAGTAATTTAAAGAATTGCCTCATATGCAATCAAAGTATGTAATAATTTGGACTAGAAAGTCAGTATCAATTAGTTTTGTTATAAGAAAATCAATAGCTTGTTATTTATTCATTTTGTCAATATTGTAGTTTTGAGCAGCAGTATTATAATATATGAATAAATATTGATAGAAGTAGAAGCCTTATTGTTTAGGATTGGTTTTGACAGCATTAGAAGAATAAGTGTATTCTTCTGCCTTTGTTGTTAGTTCATCAAGGGATAAAGTAGAAATTGGTTTTATAAATGTAGCTTCGTATTTGCCTTTAATATAGAATATGAATGCATCAAGAAAAGATTCATTTCATGTTTTAGTATCTTCTTTGGGGTAGGTTTTGTAAGATGTTTTAAATATATCTTTAATAAGTGTAGATAAGTTGTATATAGGTTGTAGTATAAAGGTTTTCTTTGAATTAGTATCAGCTTCTTTTTTTTCCCCTTTTGTATTAGTTAGTTCAAGATTAGAATATTTAGAGTCTGTACAGATAAGTACATGGTAGTTGGCATATCTAAAAGTTTTATAATGTCATTCTTGAAGATTAGTTGGTTTTATAAATTCAATATTAGTTGGCAAAAGGTTTTTCAGATATGAGATAAAATGTTATCTAAATTCATATTTAAGGTAGTTGGACACTTTGGTTTTGTTAATTATATTGAAGAATTGTCAACTATATAATGGAAAGGCTTTTTCAAACCATTCATTAAAATGACCAAGTGAGTTTTTAAGTGATGATATATTATATTTGTCAAGAAAAAGAGATTTTAGAAAATTGAAATTCAGTTTGATATTGAATCAGTTATCTATTTTGATAGAAAGGTATTGTTGTTCTTTGTCAAAATCAATAACCTTAGATGTTATTTTAAACCTTTTAGGTCTGAGTTTAATATCTTTGACAAATTTTGTATAGTTGATTGCTTGGTAGTTATTAGAAAGATATAAATATAGGCGAGCAAGATTAAGACAAAATTATAGATGATTTTCAGTTTTAATTGATGGAATTGTTGCAGGGAAGATGAATATTTTGGAATAGTTAAGTTTGGTGAAAAAAACTTTTGTAAATATATGGATAAGTTTTTTAAGACTTTTTCTAAAATATTGAAGTAATCGTTGCAGCTTTATCTGTTTCTGAATTATGTTTTTGGATTAGGTCAATAAGAAATTTTGGTCTAGTACTAGCCATTTGCCTAATCAACAAATAGAAACTAGTTTTAAGTAAATATTTAGTTTCTGTGGCTTTTTTAAGGACTTTATCAGAATAAAAATTATATAGGTATTCTTTAAGAAAATTAAAAAATTGGTGTGATATCTCAGTTTCTAGTTTTGTATAGTTTTGTATTTCATCAGTGATTGGGAAATTAGCTAGCCAATGCAATGATGGATTGAGTTTAGGTCTCGCTGCTTGACTATAAGTTTGTTTATTTGATTTTTGGTGTTGTTGTTCATTATTAATTGTTTTATCTATAATAGGAATAAGAAGTATAAGTTTAGAAAAAAGAGGATTCTTAATGATAGGTTGTTTTTGGTATGGGTTTTGTTGTTTTTGTTGATTTTGTTGTTTTTGTTTTAGTAATTCTAAAAATTTTTTGAAAATTAAAATTTTCACTTCTTTAGATAGTGTAATAAGTTTGATTACAAGAGCAGTTTGGATTTGTATAGAAGTAAGTGCTTTAGTTTGAGTAATAGGTTTAAGTTTGAGTTTATAAATATGCTGAAAATCCTTTAATAATAAAAATAGATTTGTTGAGAAGTAAGTGTGTATTATTTTCTAAGAAAACACATAAGATGTTTTTATTTTGACAAATAATACAAGTATATATATAATGAGAATGTGCTTGGATTTGGGGAATTTGTGTCAGATTAGATGAAGTTCCTTGTTGAGTTGTAAAATAATTCAAAGAGAATAGTAATAGAGGAACAGTAGTTGTTTTTGTAATTGGTAATTGAGAGATAGTTTCTTTGAGTTGTCTAACTTGTTTAAATATAATATCAATATCCATATATGTAGATTTTTGAGAAGAAGAAGAAGGAGTTGCTTGTTTAGGTGGAATATTAAGATTATTAGAAGTAAAGAGAGTATGAAATTTTTGGCAATAACAGTGAATAATAGTAGATTGAATAAGCGTTTTAAAGTAGTGAAGAGATTTAGCAATATTGTATTCAGATGGATTAAATGCAAATGGCATTACTTTAAGTTGTATAAGTTGTACTTCTCAGATCATTGTACTATAACAATTATTGTACTTGTTATGAAAATAGTCAAGATCAAAATGATCTGGCTCTTGGGTAGTCAAAGTAGACATTCTGTTTGATAAAAAAAAAAAATACTACAGGTATACTTAAGGATGAAAGTTAATATTACTTAGTAAAATTTTTTGTTATTAATTGTTAAAGTTTTTAATATATAAAATTTATAGTAGTAAAGGTTGATTTGACAGAGGTATGATGTAATATTGTGACTACTGTGGCTGCTGCAGCTTTGTGTAATCTTAAGAACAATTTTGTGTAATCTATATAGTACAAGGTGTGGCTAGTATAGCAAGTATGGCTTATATAACAATTTAGTTATATGTTCCAAAAAAGCCTTGTAATAGTGTACAAAGTCAAATTAGTAAAAGAAGAAAAACCAATAAAAAATTGTATGCTATTTTAAGTAATATTAATTAGTTTATAATGCAAATGATTGTAGTAATGATTTAATATTACACAAAAATTGTGTAAGAGAAAAAAAAAGTTGGATTAATGAAAAAGAATTTTTTAAGAAGTTTACAAAAGAGTTAAAGCTATTTTTTAAAGTATCTCTATTAATATTAGATCTATTGGGTTTGTTTAGACCTAGTTTTGATTGGAGAAATAAGTTATACAACTTTTCATAAGATTATAGAGTGGGTTATGAAGCTAGTTGTCAAGAAATAATTAAAGAAAGAGTTTAAAAGCCCAAAGGCTGTTATTGCAATATTAAACTGCGAGTTTAAGAGCTATTTTTTTAAAATTTTCAGAATATATTATATATAAAATTAGTAGCTGAACAAGTTTACTTAAGATGCAAAAGTTAGTAATCTTAATAAAATAACCAGATATTAATAATTTTAGTACTGAAGAATTTTTAGTTATTTTTATATAAAAATAATTTACGGAAAGAGTTTTTTCTATTTATTAATTTAATAAAATACTATTATTAAACAATAAATTAGTCATAATTATTCACTATATTATAACTTTTATTATTACTTAAAATATTTGTATTAAATTATAGATTACATAAAAATTTATATTAAAAATTAAAGTCTTATTTAAATAACAATAAATAATGCAAAAATGCATATAATCAAAAAAATATTCTAAATATGATTAATTATTTATAAGCAAATTAAAGTAATTTAAAAATACTAAAAAATAATAAATGTAATTAAAATTATATATTAATATTTAAGATACCTGTAATGGCAGTCGCACCAGCATAACTGGCAGGTCATGGGGCATCCATGCAATGTTGGAGTTACACAGAGGAATGCAAACTGACAAATCGGGTAGTGCAAACACTAGATAAGTCCTTGTGGCCATATAAATCCATTGAAATTAGGTAACAAGAAGTCTATTTAAGAAGATCTGAGTAGAGAGGTAGCTGAATCTTCGATAGCCCTACTGTAAAGGCTAGCCTAGGGAAACAGATACCCAGGTTTAGTACTCAGCCCTAGTAGCCAGACAGGCAAGAACCTCCAGGTTGGGAGTCTCAGAGGTACTACCAACCAGGCCACTGGAACGAACTAGAGGAAAAGGATATCTAGCTGATCTGATATACCAATAGACTGATTATAGTTCTACACGGACTATCTGAATTAGGAGTTTAGTAAAAGGATAGAGGAAAAGGCAAAGATATACTAAAGTACTGGAGTTATGCTATGAAGTAGATGCTGGGGTCTAAGTGAACTCTACAAGGGCATAACAGTTTAATGGTTAGCCCTGATCGCAAGTGTTGGTTCTGCTATAGTGATACCTAGGTCAGCTATAAAAATAAGTACAGAAGGCTCTAGGAGGTTTACCTTAAGGATAAATTAGTCCTAAGGTTGAGGATGATGATCTGGTACATCTGAGATGACCAGTAATGTTAACACAAGTTACAGATTCAGAGGGTTTAAAGTGAAACACCCAAGCAGAGGTGTTAGACATGGCAATTGGTAGGGAACCTTCAAGTGGACTCCTTAAATAGGTAATATAGAAAAGTTACATATGTAGCCAATTGTATGCTCTTCTGTAGTAGTTCATTAAACCACAATACCGATAAGTGATTAATAAAAGTCAAAAGACCAAAGAAGTCATCTTAATACCAAAAAAAAAAAATATATATATATATTAATATTTAAAAAACTACAAAACAATTTAAAATAATTAGAAGTTAAAAATTTTAAGTACATTAAAAATATTTAAAGAAATGTGAATATTTAAATATATTAAAAATAATTTTAATAATTATCAAAACAAACAAATTAAATTATAATTAACTAAGAAATTTTTTTATGAATATTAATAGTGAGAAACAATCTCTCTATCTTTATTAAAACTTAGTTAAACTTTTTAACAAGTAGAATATACAGAAAAAATTTATAATTAAATTCTATATCTATAAGATATTAAAATTAGAGACTCAGACAAGCTCTTTGCAACCTAAACCTTTAGAGTGACCAAAACTCATCTAGATTTTAGAATTTGTAATTATGATAAGAGAATTCATTTGATATTTGATCTATTTAAGATATCATATTTCAATTTTAGAACTAGGATTGAGTGTAATGCATGTTGTATCAGTAAGTTTTGAGGAGTATAAGATGTTAAAATTGGTTAAGATTATCTGCTAGGTTGAGGTCTAAAAGTACAATAAGGTATCCAAATATGTATGTAGATTTGTTAGTTAAGATGAAGCAAAAGTTTAATTGAGAGTATAGTAGTGGTTTTATTAGATGAAGTAATATCTTTGATTGAATTAATTAATTCATAAGAAATTAGACCAGACAAAGTTAATGTCAGAAAGAGTGAATTTGGTATATTGTAGTTTTGCATACAGTTAAGATTTTTAATTTGGTTATGCAAGTCAGATACAGTTCTTGGTATTGTATCAAGAGTAGATATGTTAAGAACATGTTTAAGTAAGTTATCAATAAGATTGTAAAGAAGATGTAAAGGTGGGCAAGTAGTTCAATGAAATGAAGTGCTAATTTGATTATATTGGTGACAGTTAGGAGATTGGGTATGGTTATGTTTATATATATTATGTGGAGTTGGAAAGTTATTCATAAGGATTTTTATATGAAAAGACTTAAGTTGAGATGTTTGAAAGCTGTGAAAATAGTTTGTTATTTTTTGATTATTGTTAATATAGAGCCAGGTGGCTTTCTAATTAGTTTGAGTTGCAATTTGTAACCATTTTTGAAAGCAACATTAAGATAACTATAGTGCATAAATATAAGTATAGGAAATTGTACAGGTACAATAACAAATAGGTAGTTCAATAGAGTAGTTATCAAATTGTAGTATATAGTTAGGATTATAATAATTTTGTAAGTTAAATAGTAAGTATAAAAGGTTAAAATAATTATAGGCAAGGTTGTCATCAAGGTTATTAAATTCATTATCCTGATGTGCAACTACTTTATGCAAGATAAGTTGTATGTTGTAAGATTTTGTAAAGTTAATTAAGATATACCAAAGTGAGTGGTATGGAGTATTGATAAATGATAATTTGAGTGATGTTAAATTGATACTGTTGTATTTAGATATAGTGGATTGTGAGTTGGTGTAAATGTATACTGTACAGTTTCTGAATGCAGTAATAATAGCAGAAAGAATTGCAGTAATTTTTGTTTTAAAAGAGCATTACCAGAAATTAGTTTGTGCTTGAAAGGTATGTAAGATGTTGTTGTTTTGTACTAAGGTCCATCCAATTCCTATTGAGCATTGAGATGTGCCTGCCTGAATAACTAATCCATCAGTATAAAAATAAAGTTCAGACTTATTGTAGTTTGAGTTGGCAATTGATTGCAGAGTGTTGATAAGATCATAATTGTTAAAAACAAATAGAATAAGTAATGCAGATATATAGATATTAGCTGCATTAGAGATTTGAGTAGGATGTTAGATAGTAATAGAATAGAGCAAGTCAAGATAATTTGCATTGAGATTAAGTTATTAATTTTGAGTATTAAATTTTTCAATAAATTTAGTTGCAAGATTAATAGGAATAATGTTATATATTTGTTAGTGATAAGAATTAAGATTGTAGCCAGTACATGGTTTAGTTGTAATTGAAGGTGTTGGGTATAGTTGTATAACATAAAGCTCAATATTGCTGTGCCAATGAGTAATAAGTATTTGCCCAGAAGAGGTTGGTTGTTTTCTGGCTTTACCTATAATTATTTGATCTTGTAATATAGTAATAAGCTATAGTTTAGAACATTTTAAGAAATGTTCAATAGTGTAGCTAAAGAGATTAGTTTTTGGAAGTTGATAATGATTGTAGAGAGTTTGATAATAGAAATGATTTGTTGTGATATCTTCAAGAGTAATAAACTATAATGGTTTTCTGCCTTTGAGTATTTTATAAATTCTTGGCGAAATGTGTTTTCAGTTGAGAAGACAAGAATTGTTATATGTAGTAAGTTGATCAAGAAAAAGAATATGATGTTGGCAGAGTTGTTTTTTAAAGATTAGATATTTGGAATATGATGATAGTATTGATTCTAGTGTAATTGTTTTAGTGTTAATTGTGTATAGAATGTTATATATTAGGTTTGGGATAATAGATAGTTCTAAATAAGAAAAAAGCTAAATAATTTTGAAGCTAGTTATTTGTTTGTTTGGTCCATCAATTAGGAAATTAGAATGGTTCAATATATTGATCAAGGACCAAAGATTATTTTGTAGTTGTTGAAGGTAATATAAGAACTAGTGCCAAGGAGTTCAGTGTTGTTTAAATGTTTAATGAAGTTAGAAATATGATGTTGTAGTTGAATATCCTAAATGTTACAAATATTGTAAAGTTGAGGGTAAAGAAGAGTGCTAGTAGAAATTGTGCAGCTAAGTTTGGCTTTTTGTTTTACTAAGCCAATATGATGAGTAAGGATTTTTTACAAATAGCTTGACTGAGAACAATGTTTTGAATGTGATATTTAATGATAGGTATAATAACAGT